TCCTTTATTTGCTGATTCATCTTTTCCTAAGGTTCAACTCAATGTATATAAAAAGCAAATTTCTGGTTAATAATCCACAAATAGATAAGTCACATATGGCTTATCACAAGTTGGCTGAATTTTAGAACACAATTTTACAATTAAGTTCAGATTTAGACTTACCTAAATAAAGACGTGTACTTACTACTTTTCCCTAATCGAATGAAACAGTTAAAAATGGATAGCTACAAGCATGTAGCCATTTTCAAGGACATATCAAAATCTTTTGTGTTTGTTTTCTAAATCAGATGATTGTTAATAATTGTTATAATTGTAATTGTTAATAACTGTTAATAATACTCATATTTCTGTAACAGTGTAACATTTCCCACTTTCTTACACATTATTTCATTTAATCCACAACCACGCTGTCTGAACTGTTATTCCCATTTTCTTGGAACATAAATAAGCACAAAAGCATGAATTAAACAGATGTTGTATATAATCTTGTCAGACTCTTCAGGAAGTTCTTATTATAATGGTTCTAGAGATAAACCATTAGTGAGAAAAGTGATTAACCTAAATTAATATTGCAAAGAAAAATTTTCAATCTCTTTAATACTGCAAGGCAAAGTCTTTACAACCTGGAAGTTCTGTAACTCTACTAACACTTTCTCCCTATAAAATGTTTCTACAGTACTTCTTACTCTAAATATGCTAAGCCTGTGGTAGGAGGAGGTCTGCATTAGCCCTGTTCAACTACCTAATAAATTCACACAAGGCTTACTGAATACAATAATAGACAGGAACACGGCCTTGTGTGGCTTTTGCTAAACCTTCACCTGGCCTTGCAAAAAATATTTTTTGAACTTTAGAATTTATTACCTAATTACAACAAGTGATGGTATAACCAGTTAATTAACTTGCCCAAAACCAAATTTTAAATTGTGTTTACCTGTCATCTAAATGTCATAGTAGCTTATACAGTTCTACAGTATCACTGACAAATTATAAAAACATGCTGCATACAACTATGTCTTAAGATTGATTGTTTTCTTCTTCCAACATTTCACTATAGAGGTACAAAGCTAAGCTCTTTAATTTGAATAAAAGTAGCACTTAGGAAATTACTTAAGTTTTTCTATCAGTTCTCTGAGAAGTACAAAGGCAAAAAATAAATAATACTTTTTTGCAGTAAAATTACTTTATATAATTTATCAAAAATAAATGTCAGTGTGTATAGAGATGATTACAATGAAGATCAGTGGGAAAACGAATCCTAGAATTCTATAAATAAAAATAAAAATAAAAATAAAATCTCAAGCAGCAATAGATTTTAATGCATTCTGATAGGAATACAGGAGCTCTGGTGGTGCAGTGGTTAAGGCACTCATCTGCTAACCAAAAGGTCGGCAGTTCGAACAAACTGGCCAGCTGCTCCATGGGAGAAAAATGAAGCAGTCTGCTACCATAGAGATTTACAGCCTTGGAAACCCTATAGAGCAGTTCTGTTCTGTTGTATAGGGTCGCTAGGAGTTGGAATCCACTCTATGGGAGTAGATTTGGTTTTCGGTATAGGAATGCAGTGAAGAAAAAACATTCCATTGTTAAAACTGACTATATATACATTTTTTTTTTTTTTTTCTTGTTATTTGCTGTGGAGTTCGGGCCTGACTCATAGCGAACCTTCCTTGGGTTTTCGAGGCAGCATCACTACTGAAGTAGATTGCCCAACCATCCTTCCGAGGAGTGGCTGGTGGGTTTGAACTGCCAGTCTTCTGGTTAGCAGTCAAGTGCCTTAGGCACTACGCTACCAGAGCTCCTTATATCTATATCTATCTATCTATCTATATATGTTGTTGTTGTTGTTGTTGTTATGTGCCGTCGAGTCGGCCCCGACTCATAGCGACCCCTCCTTGGGTTTCCGAGGCAGTATCACTACGGAAGTAGG